TTATTTTTTTTTTAAATAATTTAATTTTTTTTTGGTTTTTAAATTGAATTATACTTAAAGTTCAGGGTAATCAACTGTTAAAAACATATTGTTCAAAACAGTTTCTCCAATAAATGGATGTTTTCAAAGTCAATGAATAATCGCATTCTATAATCGCAATTACAATTATTGACCCAAATAATCGAGATTATGATTTTTGCCATAATCGAGCAGCCCTGGTGTCTAGACCCCGCGGGGTTTCATCGGATCGGTTCTCCCCTCCCGAATGATACTCCTGCACAACGTGGCCTAAGCTCCATTACATTCATTTGTGTATTCCTGGCAATAAATATGTATTCTTACATCAAAACCGTCTCTGCTGATTGAAATAATCACAGGTAACCAAATATAATGTTTTTAGAGGAGAAAATATTAGACAAAGAAAAATACATCACCCACCCTATCTGCTTTCCCTCGTGTTGTAAATGTATTTATTGCAAAACGACATCCTGCACGTCTTTAAAAGCTGAAATAATGAACCAACAGCCCAGTTACTTCCTTATTACAGGGTGTCCGCGGGGTCTTAAAAAGTATTAAGAGTTGATAAATCCATTTAGCGAAAATGAAGGCTATTAAAAAGTATTAGATGGCATTTTCCAAGGTAATACATGCTGTAGCTTGTTTCCAATAAGTATATAAATGGTCCAAAGAGGTTGTGTTCTACAGTCTGCCTGAATGTAATCATGGCGTAGGTGTGTCGTGTGATTCTGTGTAGTTTATTGATGGCATCCCGTTGGGTTTGACGTCATCTGAACAGGACATCGCACGCTCACTGCTTGATAGCGCGAAGGTCCGTTTACGCCGGTTGTTAAACAACATCGTTATGGGGAAATGCAAGTCTGCGTCCAAATGGTTGGAAGATAAGGAGGAAGGACAATCAATACTGTATATTGTAGTCAGACCCGGCGCCAGAACAAATCTAAAGGGGGGGCATATGATTTTCATGGGAGGGCACACAAAACCGTCACGTGCTGGGGGTCTGCGGCACAATATATATCAACAGCAAGGCCAACAGCATTGCGTAAAGACGCACACTTATCGCAAAACATACACAAATAAAGGGCAACATAGCAACCACTTTGAAACATTGTGTGCGTGGCCAGCACCAAACACTGGTAAATCACGAGCAAGGTTGACGGCTAAAAAAAGCTATTAATATAAACGACAGCTGACACGTAATAACGGTTCCGTGCAGCTGATCTGCACCAAAGTACTCATTTCCTTATTTGTTTCCTCGCGTATCTGTCTCTCTCTCTCTCTCTCTCTCTCTCTCTCTCTCTCCTCTCTCTTCTCTCCTCTCTCTCTCTCTCTCTCTCTCTCTCTCTCTCTCTCTCTCTCTCTCTCTCTCTCTCTCTCTCTCTCCACGAGCTCTCATGAAATGTGTTCTTTTGATGCGGCATGTCTTAGCAGTCCTTTATCAGTCTGTAATGCGTGTTTCCAGTCGCAAAAACCTTTCACAGTAAAAGCCGCATCAGATGAAGACGTGTTTACTTTAAACTGTCTACAGGGGAAACAAAAGGCTGCGTCTGCTTTTAACGAATATTCAAGCCATGGTCTGTTGTGTACCATGCAGCGGCAAAAGTGCGCTTCTTTCCTGAAAACAATCTCCCTGGATAACGATCCAGCTTCACCTGCTTGGGTTTATTAACCCCAAGATCATCGCTAACTCAGCCCCGGGGTTTGCCGAGGTCAAGCTTGTGACATTAACGGCCCGTCCACACAGCGGCGTGCGTTGAAGCTTCCAACGCTTCTGCCCATTCACTTTGAATGGGGTGACGTCACTTTTAGCCGAACTGCATTTTGGGAAGCGACGTGGAGCGTTGCTGGCGTAGCTGGCGTCAAAAGTTGAGCAATGTTCAACTTTTGACGCCTCGACGGAGGCGTCAGCCAATGAAATCCCGTTTATTCAAATCTGCCAGTACAATCGCTAGCCAATCAAACCGCGTGTATGCTGGGAGAGACTGCGCAGGTCATTTCCTCATATTCAAACAAATTGAGGGAAAATTCATTGTAGCGGTAGTGAATCACCCGGTGCTGTATGATCAGTCTCTGTTCATCTACCGGGATACAAACCGGAGGAGCGAGGCATGGAGGGAGGAGGCAGAGACAGTGGGTGAAACTGGTAGGTTTTCGCCTGTTTGGGGATTTTATATCCAGTTTACTTCGTTTTAACATTGCTATTGCTTTGTATGTCGGGGGCGGGAGATTCATGTGATTGGTTGTTGGTCGTGTTGCTCGCAAAAAATCCCCAAGCTTCAGATACGCCCACCTCCAAGCGTCAACGCACGCTGCTGTGTGGACGCTCCGTAACGGCCCGTCTACACTACAGGTATCGAAAAAGCTTGAAGCTGGGCGTGTCTGAAGCTTGGCGATTTTTTGCGAGCAACGCGACCAACAACCAATCACATGAATCTCCCGCCCCCGACATACAAAGCAATAGCAATGTTAAAACGAAGTAAACTGGATATAAACTCCCCAAACAGACGAAAACCTACCAGTTTCACCCACTGTCTCTGCCACCTCCCTCCATGCCTGGTTCCTCCGGTTTGTATCCCGGTAAATAGTTCTGGTCGGAAAGAACCGGGTGATTTGCTACCGTAATTTCTCATTTGGAATATGAGGAAATGAACTGCGGTCTGGCTCTCCCAGCTTGCACGCGGTTTGATTGGCTAGTGCTTGTACTGGCGGGAATTGCAAAAACGGGATTTGATTGGCTGACGCCAGCTTCGAGCAAGCATCGAGCCTCAAAAGTTGAACATTGTTCGACGCCGATAGACGCTCGCGATGCTTGCAACGCCTTGCCATGCTACCCACAATGCAGTTCGGCGAAGTTTGAAAATATCCTACGTCACCCCATTCAAATGAATGGGCGAAGCATTGAAAGCATTTGTTGACACCTGTAGTGTAGACGGGCCGTAAGGCGTGCTGCTGCAACGGCAGGTGCAGGGTCGCCAGCAGCTGCATCGGCTGCAGTTCTTTCATCGCTATTTCATTTTAATAAATCCTTAGACCTTTGGAGCCAATTTCTGATGTCCATTTTGTAATGCAAACAGAAATGGGAGTCTACAGAATGCACAATAAACAAATCCAGAATAGGCGGCAGAGTGTGACGCTGTGATTGGTCTAAATGGGGACGAATCACAAATCACAGACACATGCATTTATTTGAGGTAGCCTGCGATTTTTTTTTTGCTGACATCACATACATCGTAGCATAAAAGTTCACAGTTTATTTATAATTAAAAAAATAAAATATATATATTTTTTAATTTTTATAAATAATAAAAAACGTGTTTATTGGGGGAGGGCAGGAATGTCAAATGGGAGGGCCTGGCCCTCCCACGGCGCCGGGCATGATTGTAGTGATCACTGTTTATCATAATTCACTCATGGAACCACAGGTTGGGGGTATTGTTCCGCACGGACACACATGTTGACTGTACTTCCTGTGTACCCTCCTTTCTCTTCCCGGACTTCAAGCCGGCAACATGTGCTTTTCTGCTGCTCAATAAAACCAACGTTGCACCTTTGACGCACTGACTCCCTTCTCTCGGCACTACACTGGTGACCCTGACATAAGTCTTGCAGAAGTTTCCGAGACTGGACCGAACATGGCTAGAGATTTTTGGAGACGTCCGTGGCTGCCTCGTGCACACGGACTGAAGCTCGGTGCGCCCTCCGCGGAATGGCCGAGGACGTCGCTCGCCATTCCCAAATAGTTTCGGCACTGGGAGACGGCGAGCCTTCCGACCACATGGAGACGATACACGACCTGCTAGGTACGGAAGAACCCGACTTCTTGCACATGGAACTGTTTCTTCGGGTCATGCGGCCGCATGCCCAACCAGCGCTCGCTAACACGGCTAGTGTTGAGCCCTGCGCTTTAGCCGAAGAAGCTGACCGGTTCTTCCTGTCCGCCCGGCGATTTACCCCTGAGGTCACACCTTCCCTGGTAGGGGCACGCCGCCTAGCAGAGGCTCCGAGGCCTCGACATCGAATAACGGCTACCGGCTTGCAGCTAACGGCCGTCGACAAAGGCTAACGGCTAACAACGACGACTAACGGCTAACAATGACAGCTAATGGCTAACGGCTAACAACGACGACTAACGGCTAACAACGACAGCTAACGGCTAACAACGGCTAGCAGCTAACGATGACTGACAGCTAACGGTTAGCAGCTAACGGCTGACTTCGTCCATCTGTTAACATCCTACTGTTAACCCTTTGTTGGTGGTGCCGGAGAGGAGGTTCGACCAAGTCTGGTTGACCTCGTGTGGATCCTCTCACAATTTCGCCCACTTGTTTTTTTTTTATCGTGGAAAGGACAACCTTTTTAAGCTTTTCCTTGGTGCCTGAGAGGAGGTTCGGTCATGTCTGGTCGGACCCTCTTTTCACCACCTCGACGGCGGTTTCGGACGTCGCCCAAGTTTTAGTCAATGTGAGGTAATGTGTGTCGCCAATGTAACCGGTTAAAACTCCAAGTGGCGATGAGGTCTTAAAATGTATGGAAAGGGTCTTAAAAGGTATTACATTTGACTAGAGGATTCCTGCATATACCCTGTATTAAAACATCATCAAGTATATATAACAAATAAAAAATGGAGGCTGTGGCTCAGTAGGTAGTGCGCTGAATTTCGAATCAGGGGGTAGCAAGTACTACCCACAGTAATGAATGTATGTAAGTCACTTTGGATAAAAGCGACTAACAAGTAACATGTAATGTACAAAAACAGCCCTTTTTCCCTCTTTATTATTGGATAAAATGTATCATTTAGCTTCAGTTGCATCCGAAGTAAATAACTGTGTAGGCCTATGCTCGTTTATAAATGTACGCATGTGAAAAAGTTGCACCACCTTCATACGTGGTGAAAATAACAGAAAATGAGGAAGTTACTCTTTTTTTAACCACAGCTTATATAAACTGCTTTGTGTGTTGATCGCCAGTTCAGAAACATTGAGGACAGCAGAGATAAAAAGAAGAAGCAAAATGGCTGATTTCAGATGGATTGAAGTGTTTCTATTTCTGACTCTCATCGTGCTTACAGGTAAGAATACAAACACTTGTGGAAGGTAACTATGTTCATTTACTCAAGTACTGCTAAGTAAAAAAGTTGAGTTCTTATATTTTTACCCACGACATGAACAGAGGTGGGAAGTAGTGGAGTACAAATACTTTGTTACTGTACTTAAGTACATGTTTCTGTTATCAGTACTTTACTCCACTACTTATTTTTCTGACGACTTTTTACTTTGACTTCTCACATGTTGAACACAAATACCTGTACTTTCTACTTCTTACATGTTGAACCCAAATACCTGTACTTTCTACTTCTTACATGTTGAACACAAATACCTGTACTTTCTACTTCTTACATGTTGAACCCAAATACCTGTACTTTCTACTTCTTACATGTTGAACTCAAATACCTGTACTTTCTACTTCTCACATGTTGAACCCCAATACCTGTACTTTCTACTTCTTACATGTTGAACCCAAATACCTGTACTTTCTACTTCTTACATGTTGAACACAAATACCTGTACTTTCTACTTCTTACATGTTGAACCCAAATACCTGTACTTTCTACTTCTTACATGTTGAACACAAATACCTGTACTTTCTACTTCTTACATGTTGAACTCAAATACCTGTACTTTCTACTTCTTACATGTTGAACTCAAATACCTGTACTTTCTACTTCTTACATGTTGAACTCAAATACCTGTACTTTCTACTTCTTACATGTTGAACCCAAATACCTGTACTTTCTACTTCTTACATGTTGAACTCAAATACCTGTACTTTTCTACTTCTTACATGTTGAACCCAAATACCTGACTACTTCTACTTTCTTACATGTGCACACAAATACCTGCTACTTTCTACTTCTTAAATGTTGAACCCAATACCTGTACTTTCTACTTCTTACATGTTGAACTCAAATACCTGTACTTTCTACTTCTTCACATGTTGAACCCCAATACCTTTACTTTCTACTTCTTACATGTTGAACCCCAAATACCTGTACTTTCTACTTCTACATGTTGAACTCAAATACCTGTACTTTCTACTTCTTACAGTGTTGAACCCAAATACCTGTACTTTCTACTTCTTACATGTTGAACACAAATACCTGTACTTCTACTTCTTACATGTTGAACCCAAATAACCCTGTACTTTCTACTTCTTACATGTTGAACCCAAATACCTGTACTTTCTACTTCTTACATGTTGAACACAAATACCTGTACTTTCTACTTCTTACATGTTGAACCCAAATACCTGTACTTTCTACTTCTTACATGTTGAACACAAATACCTGTACTTTCTACTTCTTACATGTTGAAACCCAAATACCTGTACTTTCTACTTCTTACATGTTGAACACAAATACCTGTACTTTCTACTTCTTACATGTTGAACTCAAATACCTGTACTTTCTACTTCTTACATGTTGAACTCAAATACCTGTACTTTCTACTTCTTACATGTTGAACACAAATACCTGTACTTTCTACTTCTTACATGTTGAACACAAATACATGTACTTTCTACTTCTTACATGTTGAACTCAAATACCTGTACTTTCTACTTGTTACATGTTGAACTCAAATACCTGTACTTTCTACTTCTTACATGTTGAACTCAAATACCTGTACTTTCTACTTCTTACATGTTGAACTCAAATACCTGTACTTTCTACTTCTCACATGTTGAACTCAAATACCTGTACTTTCTACTTCTTACATGTTGAACCCAAATACCTGTACTTTCTACTTCTCACATGTTGAACTCAAATACCTGTACTTTCTACTTCTCTCATTTTCCAAACAGCTGGTTCCTTTAGTCTGAATGTGTGTTTGGTGCGTGATCATTATTCTTTAGAGTCATTGCGTGCCTATTGATTTGAACACGATCCGTGTATCCATCATTTCCTGGTCTTCTCTAAAGAAGAGGGACCAATGGAAACGTTGTCATGTTGCCGTTGTTCAGCATGGAAACATTCATTAGCTAACAATGACATTATTGTTCTATTGATATAAAGGGAGGTCAGGTACTCTTTAAAACAGCTGCTAGTTATGGGTACTTTTTACTGAAGTACATTTCAAAGTTCTTTACTTTGACTTGAGTAAAGAAGTTTAGTCAGTACTTCTACTTTTACCAGAGTATTTTTAAACACGAGTATCTGTACTTCTACTTGAGTAAAGGATGTGTGTACTTTTGCCATCTCTGTACATTATGCATGCAGATGTTTTACCTTTAACTCCACTCCAGTATTAAACTGCATTATTTACTAGCTACCATGCAGATTTTTAGTATTAAAGAGGACATCTCTTGTGGTCCTGCCTGACTCTCATCATACTACTTCCCTGATGGCTCCCACAGGATTGTTGACATCCTCGTGGATTCATCTTCTTATTATAGACACATGCATTTCCAAACATTTGGTCTACCTATGTTGCAAATGTATTATCTCTTCGATTTACACACGGCATCTATTGCACGTCTGTCCGTCCTGGGAGGGGGATCCCTCCTCTGTTGCTCTCCCTGAGGTTTCTCCCATGTTCCCTTTAAACTGTGGGTTTTCTCCGGAAGTGTTTCCTTGTACGATGTGAGGGTCTGAGGACAGAGGGTCTAAGGATAGAGGGTGTCGTATTGTCATACTGATATTCTGCATAAACTGTGCTGTTGTATTTGTTGTAAAGTGTCCTTATTGTAAAGTATTTTTACTGTATGTACAGCACTTTGGCTCGACCAAAAATCGTTTTAAAAATGTGCTATATAAATAAAACTTGATTTGATTTTGATTTGACATATTATGCTCATTTTCCTGTTCTCCCGAGTGAATTTGGGATTTTAGCCTTTGCAAACCATTTACATGCATACAAACCTATATAACACACTACAGGAGAGAGAAAACCCCAAAAAGCATAGCCTATAGGGCAAATAATAGTAATAGACATATAAATCAAATCTTAACCAAGTGCCAGATTGAAGTCTTTAACACATTAATGCGTAATCAATAATTAAATACAACAATTCTGCAATGGTCAGCATTTCTTGTTTTTTTTAGTACTTTAAGTATATTTTAATGCCTTAACTTTTGTACTTGAAAGCAGGATTTTTACTTGTATGTTTACACTGTATTATTGCTGCTTTTATTTAGGTACAATGTCGGAGTACTTCTGGGTTTAATACACACAGTATGATTCTAAAACGGGCAATTCTGCAAAATTAATACGACAACCTTTTGGTACAATTTGATGCTGAGTACAGTTTTGAATGCAGCAGTGTAACTTTTATCTTATTAAATGATCTTCCTTCAACTCTGCTCATATGCATATAACAGAAACATTACATAAGTTGACTGAAATGATTATTTATATTTTTCTCTTGTCTTCTCAGCGGGAGCCATCTTGCCTTATGAGCCGGATCCTTTCTCCTTCGCTGTGAGATCAGGAGAGGAAGTCACTTTGCCTTGTGAAAGAAACAGATTTGCTTCAAACCGAGTTGCTTCACAGTTACCAAACTGTGAAGCAACTCGGTGGTACTTCCTGGAAACCATATATATATCACAGAAAGTAGTGCTTGCAAATGGGAAGATGGTTGTAGAAGCTAAAGCAGATAGACTGAGTGTTACAGAGAAATGTTCTCTGGTTATAAAGAAGGTCACAGAGGAGGATGCTGGTTATTACATCTGCAGAAAGTCCCGAGAAGTTAACCTGGCTGTTGTTACCAGTGAGTATTTAGCAGAGATGGGAGAAGTATTCAGATCGTGTACAGTCTTGAGTAAAAGTAAAAGTATCAGAGTGTAGGAATACTCTGTTACAGTAAAAGTACTGCATTCAAAATGTTCCTAAAGTAAAAGTAGAAAAGTATTCTCATCAAAATATAGTGAAAGTAGCGACAGTAAAAGTATTCATTGTGCAGATTGGTTCATGTCAGAATAATATATATGATATGTTTTATAATGATTGATCATGAAAGTGTTCTCAAAGCTGGTAAAGGTGCAGCTAGTTTGAATGACTTTGTATACTGCAGGGTAGCTGGTGGATTTACTCCAGGTGGAACTAAAGTCTGATTTAACACTTGATTATATTTCACATCATTCATCCACATCTGTGAAGTAACTAAAGGGATTCAATACATGTAGTGGAGGAAAAGTACACCATTTACCTCTGAACTGTAGAGGAGTACAAGTATAAAGTAGCATTAAGGGAAATACTCAAGTAAAGTCAAGTACCTCAAAACAGTACTTGAGTAAATGTAGCCTACTTAGTTTACACCTCTGAAGTTTAGCTGGATGCTAATGCAGTTTAGCTGCTAATGCTAACTGTCTGGCCAAGTTGTTGTTCTGTTGTTAAACTTTAAAAGTGTTACATCCCACACTTCTCAGAAATAAATGTGTGGAGTAGAAGTACAAAGTAACAAGTAACTTTTCACCATGGTATTTACATCTTGAACTGTCTACTTAGGACAATGTACTGAAACATTAGAGTAAGTCTGATAACAGTAATGAAATTAACTTTACTCTTGTTGTCTTTCTCTCACACATCTTCAGTCTCTGAACATAAGAGCCACGATGAGGTGACGTTACGCTGCTCTGTGGCTCCGTCTAAAGATTGCAAACACCGAGTGAAGTGGCAGTTCAGGGATAAAGACGTAGAGATGGACGACTTCAGGACATCAGAGTCGGATTGCGAGGCCAATGTGACGTTCCTGACTTCTCTTTTTATTTACACGCCGAAGAACTATGAGTTGCTCAAGTGTAAAGTGAATGTCAACAACAATGGAGTTAAGCAGCTGTTCAGCCCTCAGTTCTCAGGTAAAAAAAGCACAATGTTAAAATGTATTAAACAGATAATAGTGCTTACACATTTTATGCATTTTAATCAGCCATCATTATTTGTTAAGCTTCTCAATCAATTTTGTTGGCTTGTGTTTATCATTATATTTCAGGGGGAAATGCAACATTAACGACACATGAAGGTGAGAAACAAAGTGGTTTAAATACTGTAGCTTTGGTTAAAACTGTAGATGTGTGTTTACAGTGGGTACAAATGTAGAAATGTCACAAATGTCACTGAATATTGTTTAAATATTCCAGCACAACAATGTTATTTTTAAATAATTAACTTAAGTATTTAACATGCACATTAACAAATGTAAGAGTCTACAGTCTGTCTAATTTCCATTAAACAAACTTTGAAAAAAATGTTTCTCACAATGACAATGCTAACATAAGGTGACCAGATTTTCAAAATTAAAACCGGGGACATTTTGAGTTTTGCGGTCAATATATCAATAACATATCCAATTGTTTTCACTGTTTTCATCCTGTTTTTTCAAAGAAAAAAGGGGGACAATTCTAATGTAATTTGAACATTTTAACTGTTGGATACAAACAGAAGGACGATAGCTCATATATGAGACTGGGAGGCGTGTGGGGCAGTAGATTAGTGCGTTGGTGTTCGGATCAGGTGCAAACCCCACTGCAGTCAGCATGTCGTTGTGTCCCTGAGACACTTCACCCCAAATTGCTCCTGTGGGGATTGCCCACAGTATTGAGTATGTAAGTCGCTTTGGATAAAAGCGCCTAACAAGTGACATGTAAGTAATGTAATGTAATGAGACTTCAAAGGTCTTTTATTTTGAAACTGTACATCAGATTGTCCAGATTCTCTCTGAGTGATTAGATGGGGTCTCCTGCTATCACCCTGAAGTGAAATAAGTATTTGATACTGGATAGTTTTTGTTTTATTCTCATCTAAAAACAGAGGGATGATGGCTCATATATGAGACTTCAAAGGTATTTTATTTTGAAACTCTACGTCAGATTGTCCTGATTCTCTCTGAGTGACTAGATGGGGTGTCCCGCTATCACCCTGGAGTGAAATAAGTCTTTGATAATTTGACAGTTTTTTATTTATTCTTGTATAAAAACAGAGGGATCATAGCCCATATATGAGATTTCAAAAGTATTTTATTTTGAAATTCTACATCAGATTGTCCTGATTTTCTCTGATTGACTAGATGGGGTCTCCTGCTATCACCCTGAAGTGAAATAAGTATTTGATTGACTTCGAATGACTCTTTGTTTATGGACGGTTTCCATTAAATAATAATCAAAATATAGATGGACAATAGATCTAATTTTAGATTTTAAACTATACATTTTAAATTGTGCTTCAGAAAGTAATGTTATTTTAGGAGTGTTGTGAGATGGTGTCAACATCAATTGAAATGAGTCACCCAGTGGAAATGTCAGATATGTCTTCATAACTGTATCCTTACATTTTACATTCACTCAGTTATAATGTGGTAGTTATACATACTTTGTTTTAAATTAGTATTGATCACATTATATAGTACATATTTCTTAATTTAAACTCCAGTATATATGAATATGTTTGGTGTGTTTTTTAGGTATATTTGTTATTGACCGAGTAAACGCTTTTATTTTGAAGGCAGTTTTTACAGGCCTCTACCGTAATGCATAGGATATTCGCGCACCGCAATATAACGTGCGGGCTGGCTTGACTGTTTTCCGAAGTGGGGGCTGGCTCGACCGCAGTCTGTTTACCCAGTGTTTCCTGACATGAAACGTTTTATTTCACCTTGCTATGTGTTTTTAACGTATATTAAAAAACGGGGACAGTTTCAACCGGGGACAGGCCAATACAAACGGGGACGTCTGGTCACCCTATGCTAACATGATCACTATGGTAATGCTAACATTCTCACTTTAAACATGCTAACACATTATCAGTATGACAATGCTAACACGCTTAAACCGACAATGCTAACATGTTCACTATGACAATGCTAACACGCTTACAACGACAATGCTAACATGTTCACTATGATTGCGCTAACACACTGATTTGTATCAGACATAATGTTTAATATGTTTTCTCCATCATGTGATCCCGGTCTTTTGCTAATAATAATAACTGTATTTATAATTTTGTCGATGCTTTAAAGGTGTGTCTGTGGGAATCATCATCATGTTAGCGGTGCGCGTGGCACAAATCCTCCTCTTGACGGTCATTACTGTTCTTCTCTTTAAAGCTCGAGGTGAGAGAATTCATACCGACATACATTATTTTCAGATGCAATAACACTCATCCTGCCAACATATTTGGACTACTGACCTATAAAAGTAAAATTGTAACTTATTCAATCTCAAAACATTGTAGATCATGTAAGTGGGGGGCTGGCCTCTGAAGCACAATGTTGTTTATTGTGATATAAGTTAAATCAGCAAGATATGATGAATGGAAATAGGGAATGTGTGTTTATTACATAGACTACAGGTTTCTTATCCATATGACAGACAAAGCAATAGTGTGTAAGCTTTAAAATGTGGGCAAATGGCAAATATTTTATTTATAATTTCTATGTTATCGATTTGAAGTTTCACCTAGGTACTTTTTACTGGGATCCCCAAGCTCCCTTATACATGGTATTTAAACATTTCATTTGAAAAGCACCAATACAAACAGAAGGAGAACACAATGATATGAAGTCGGTAAGAACAAATGCATTGACAATGACACAAGACATTTAAAAATATACATGTGACTTCATCAGCAAGATACCACTTGGATCAGATGGATGAAAGAGGGTTAATACAAAATGAAAGTTTATAGCTAACATTTTCCTCTGCTGTTATTTTCTAAGGAAACCAGAGACCACCTGCTGACCTGACTGTGAGTTGAAAATCATAAGAAAAGTGGAAACAACAATTATAATTAATTGTAATGTTGGTGGCTTTTGTTGAATGTCATGCCTCTCTTTTCCTATTTTCCAATGTTAGACTATACTATTATTGAAGACAAAAATATATTGATAAAATGTTGGCAGTATATGTTTATGTTGTAGCCTTGAAGGAATGGAAAAGTCCTAAACTCCGTAAGAATACCTAATAGTAAAACTGTGTGGGTGTAATATATCATCAACATAAAACAGCTAGAATTAAACATTTCTTTATTTAAATTTGAACTTTTTTTTTTTTTTTTCCATAGGTGCATTACGATGGAAATGGACGTGGCGGCACAGTGAAGTACGAAAACGTTGGAGAACCTTCTGTTTCTGTCCCCCACCCAAACACCTCCGTGGCTACAGCCATAACATAATAAAATATACTTTATTATTCCGTCACAGCAGCATAGAAGACATTGCACATTAATTAGAGGTAAATAGAAATAAAAAAACATTAAAATATGCAAAACAGTGAATATATACGTATCAATAATGAAGGATATATTCATTCGTTCAGATAATCAATATTTACAAAAGTGTATTTTCCTATTTAGACATATTTAAAAGAAATAAATAACTCAACATATTTTGGGTAGGGTCACGTTCAAATTTAAACCAAGTTAAAATAAGATAAATATTAATGTATCCCTGTAGGGAAATACACAGAATAATACAAATAAAACCTTCAAATTAAAATTACAACAACAACAATAGGAAAAGGTAAAACACAGAGATGTAAACATTTTGAAATTGAGAAAAATATCAGAATTTTGAGATTTTCTGAAAAAAGACAGGAAGTTGCGATTTCCAGATAAAAGTGTAAACTCCCTAGAAACTACAGAAAACAACTTCTAAAAACGTTGTTACGAAGACGTCAATATGAATTTATTTCCGCAAGTTTTCGAGATTGGTTTTTGATTTGTAAGTTGCTTGGGTTGCTGGTAAATATGTTTTGCTAATGTTGCAGGTTTGAATGAGCTGTGCTTCTTAAAGGAGGTAATTACAGTTATATTACATTATAAACGATGATATGATCTTCTAAAAAATAATGCACATAATGTACAACATTATTTTGTATTACAGCAGATTTTTATTCCTCTGTCATTCCATTGCAATGTAAATACTGTTTTATTTGACTATATATTTTTAATTATTTTTAATATTTTTCTAGTTCTCTTCCTGTTTTTTTAGCTCTTGTTTTTATGCACCATGACATCAATTCAAATTCCTCGTACGTGTAAACCTGGTAATAAACCTGTTTCTGATTCTAAAAGGAAGAGAGTAGTAGAGAACAAGAAAATCCTAGCCTCCATATTAGTTTCTATTTTTGAGTTCCTTTTAATTAATAAAACACTTTAATTATTGTAATTGTATTGTTCGTATTGACATATAAAATAAACTGGTGTGTCATTCTTCCTTTCTGTCCTTACACTCACTTTTTGACCCCAACAGCCTTCATCACCATTCTTCTTCCTGTCCACCAGATGTCCCCCTCCTCACCTTTTTGTATTTCCCACTCAGTGTGGAGTTGTTAAGCCTCTTTGTGTTGTTGTTTAGTGTCTCTTTGGAGTAGTTTTGTTTTCCAATTTGTTTCGTCTCCGTGGTAATTTGATGTCTATTTGTGGTCTTTTTTTTCTGTCTTCTTGTTTTTGTCCCTTGAAGTCTCTTTGCGGCCATTTTGTGTTTCTTTACGGTGATTTTGAAGGTTTCTTATTTCTCTAATTTCCCCTCCTCGACTCCTCCGCTCGCATCTCCTGTGGCGGGACTAAGACACAAGGATAGGAGTCAAGGAGGGGATTTAGAGAAATGAGAAACCTTCTTTGTGTCACTTCGTAGTCCTTTTTTTTGGCTTTTTGTAGTTTCTTTGTGTATCATGGTAAATTACTACAAAGACACACAATCACCACTGTCTCTTTGTAGTCATTTTGTGTTGTTTTGTCCATGTTATTGTCGTTGTGAGTCTTCGCAGCTGTTTTGCATCTACTTGTGGTTGTTTTGGTCTTGTTGTAGTCGCTTTAGGTTTCTTTGAGGTCATTTTGAGTCTCTTATTGGTTGGTATATGTGTCACTTTGAGGGACATTTTGTAGTTAATGTCCAAGGCAGCAATCTCCATTTATTGGAACTTATTGACATTACACTTTTCTAGGCGTTCAAGCTGTTTTTAAATTGGACAACGTTTTAGCTTTCTCTTTCTGTTAGCCTTGTTTGTTTCTGATTGTTACCTGGTAAACATTGGAGGGTTAAACCTCCAGAGCTCTGCTGCTGTTAACCACATTTTCACACCATTACACTTCCCCTTCAGTTCTCAGAAAGACTGCCAAGACAATCAGAAACCAACAGGTCTCAAAGCAAGAAATGTCATCTTGTCTTTGTTCTTAGCAGCTGCTACGGTATTAACATACTGTCAACATATTTGACACATGTATTAATGTGTGCTGTCAAACATCACCATGAATCCTGATCAACTGCCACCATGTAGAGAAAACTATTCGCCCCTTTTTAACTTCCTTAGTCCTTGTCTTCTTTTTCTCAGGCAATACAACACAGCAATGTCCCAACTGCAGCATGTGGGATTGGACACAGTTGGAACATAGGAGATAACTAAATAAAAAATGTAACAACGTTTTGGGGGGATTTTGACGTCTACAAGTATAGTCTAAAACCACTTCGAGAAGGGGACATCATATTTAACACAGGCAGTAGATGCAGCATCGCTCGACTAAAGCGCTATTTCAGAAACGTTTCATCAGAACAAGAGAGAGGAGGCAGACGGACGGAGATTCACGATGGAGTTTAAACGGATTAAACTAAAATTTCTCATTCTGCTGCTTCAGTTTACAGGTAAGAGTACAGATAACATTTTTACGAGTAAAATATTATATTAACCAAGATAGCCAAGTTGTCTGTTTGTTTGTCAACGAGGTGAATAGTTAGTTTGATGATCACTTTGATACCAACCACGAGGCACATGTGAAAATGTTGTTAAAACTAAAATGATCTTCACACTGATGTTATTAGTAATATTTATATTTCACATGTTATTCTTTATATTTTTCTCTTGTCTTCTTAGCCGGACAGCATTTCCTCTCCTTCTCTGTCAGAGTTGGAGATGAAGTCACTTTGCCTTGTAACAATGTGATAAATAATCAGGATAAATGTAAAGGCACTAACTGGGTATTCAGTGATTCAGGAAACACAGCGTCGATCGAGCTGGTTGTCCGTGGACAGATCGATGAAAAAGCTAAATCAGACAGACTGAGAGTTACAGAGAAATGTTCTCTGGTTATAAAGAAGGTCACAGAGGAGGATGCTGGTCGTTACATCTGCAGACAGTTCAGATCAGGACGACCACGAGGGAAAGACTCAGGTTGATCTGTCTGTTGTTACCAGTGAGTATTTACATCATTTGTTTTCCTGCAAAATACTGAAACATTACAATAATTATAATTACAGAGTTTAAGGTTATTTTACTGTCTTTCTCTCACAATATCTCCATCTTCAGTGGCTGAGCATCAGGACAATGATGAGGTGACGTTACACTGCTCTGTGCTGAGATATGGTTGGTGTGGACACAGAGTGAAGTGGCTGCTTCAGGGTAAACCTGTGGATAAACAACACCCACATTTAGAGACATCACAGTCTTCCTGTTCTGCCTCTGTGACATTTCTGACTTCTTATTTGAGTCACACATTGAGGTTGAAGTTATTTAAATGTGCAGTTTCATTGAAAAAGTTCAGCGGTTTCCCTTCAGTCCTCAGGTAAGAACATGTATTTTGTACAACCCGGTATCACGGCAAGACGTGAACATGTGACGATTTACCATGCTGGGAGACGTGAAGATGTCACGATTTCGTCCCTTCAAACGTGACAGTTACACGGTATTGTTAACATGGCCCAACCAGTGGAGAAATGCCAAGCAAATGCTCTACCATGACGGTCGGTTATTATTGTCAATATTAATATAATAATGATTTATTTTTGTAATAGTCACACTCGATTTTGCCGATTTTCTTGTTGCCCCAGCTGGTCGACTCCTCTTTTAGCAGAAACAAAGTCTACATTAATGTATTAAATCGATGTTAATCCATGTGTGTGGAATTAACGAACGTGATGTTGTGCGATTGCGTTGCCAGGCAACAGTTTGGGTTCATGTTAATTTACAAACTCTTCAACTAGAACCGTCGTTATATTTAAAAACATTTTAGAAGGTCTCACGAAATACTTTAATGTAAATTAAAATGTGAAGGAATGTGTGTATGAAAAAATACATCCATCATAAACAATACCAGAAACAGACGTAGGCAAGATCCTCAGCTCGGTGATTGGATGGTTTAGCCGCAATGCACGTTGGGATTTGGTGTTTATGCGATGTGAAATCCAAAAACAAAAATGATACTTTATTCCGAGTGTGCTTGCTTTTCTCTTTGAAATTCATCACATAACGGCATTGTAATACACGGTTCGGCTGCATTAAATATTACATATCTGCCGTAATTCTCTATTTATAGAGCCCTGATGAGAAGACTTCTAGACTAACAGGAAGAACTGCTGCCAAAACTGAAAACGTGATGTGGATCATAAATATATCAGCAATTAAACAACATCTTACATTTCTTATCACACAATACGTCTCCTTGCAGTATCAACACTAATTCGGCTGACTTTTATATTTGATCCAATTGGTAGATAGGCTGTATTTACACCATAAAGGTGCACAGCTGATAGAAAGGGACACCTAGTGGTTAAAGCATGTTATTGAATTTCATTATTTTTATTATTAGATATTAATAGGATCCCTATAAAGTATATTCATGACTCGTTATTCTCTACTAATAGTTAATTAAAGACTGTATATAATGACTATTTTGCACATCCCTTTCAAGATTTCAAGATTTTCTAAGGTTTATTGACACATATATTATTCACAACTACGGTGTCAATGAATACAAAACTTGGGTCGCAGGTTCCTCAACAGACATCTATCAATATGTGTGCATACCTCCACCATTAAACTATCATATTCTGCACATTTCTTATACTATACAGGGCTCGACAGTAACGGTTGCCAGGTTGCCATTGGCAACCATTCAGAAAAAATGTCAACCACCACTTCTTGGCCTTCGGTTGCCATCAGTGGCAACCAGTTTTTAACATAAAAATAAGGACAGCAAACAGCTAAATGTGCACCCCAAAATAGATAAATATGAATTATTTGTTCTATTAAGAGTGATATTTAATTATTGTTGTGACCAGTCGGAACCTGATACTTAAGTTGCACGTGCATTGGTGTGATTACGGAGCCAGAAAGTGATGCACGTTTACTCACGTGCGCGGTGCGTCGTGTGTTTGTTTTACAAAAAATGGCGAAGCAAATTAAGTTGTTTGACTGTGGGGTAAAAAGTTCGGCCAACCCGTCAACATCTCAAACGAATGTTCAAAGTGTTTCAAATGATAAAGCGCAAGGTGAATCCGAACGAAAAGCAAAGAGGAATGTTGTCCATTCACTTCCGGTAAAAGTTCCTTGAAAATAAGAGTCCAAATCTTATTACTGCCAAAATAAAAGTGCAAAACGAAACTTTACCATAGGAAAATATTGGCATACAAATATAATTACTTCTGTAAAAAGGTAACACATTTTAAATATAGTTAGACATATTAAAAGGTAATTTACAGCATTAATAATTAATATCTAATTCTTAACTGTGAATGGTTTTCAGTAGTATTAATGATGCCGCTTTCGTCTCATTAGTATGCATGAACAGTGACAAGTGGACACGCCCCCAGTTATGCAAATGAGCTAAGTCCCGCCTCCCATTGTTCGAGATCCTTTGATGTGAGGGGTGAGGTGTCATCACACGTAGGTGTGAAATGCCCCCCTGTGTAGCGCCTTTGTTCGAGATCCTTTGATGTGTGTTATAACAGGTAGGTGTGAAAAGCCCCCTGGGTAGCGCCTTTGTTGTCTAATTCTTTGATGTGTTGATTAAGTCTCTTTGAAGTTGTGTTGTATGGCCCCTGCTCCCTCACACCCCTTTGTAGTCTAGTCCTTTTGATGTGTGTTATAGCAGGTAGGTGTGATATAAGCCTTTGATGTTAATTTAGGTGTTGATTAAGGCAGACTCTTTGAAGTTATGATGTTTGGCCCCCTGCCCCTCAGAGCCCTTTGTTGTATAATCTAATTAGCCTTTGGTGTTTGCCCTTTGATGTGAGGTGTTATAACAGGCAGGTGTGACTTCACACTGGTGTGCTATAAACCTTTGATGTTAATCTAGGTGTCTCTTTGAAGTTATGCGTGAGACTGTCTACCCGCCCCCTCCCAGGCTCTCCCCCTTTTCTACCCCCTTCCTGGGGCTATGACGCTGGCAGATAGTGGGGGATGGAATTAGGTGAAAATAGAAATATGCTCAAACTAAATCAAA